TTAACATTTATCGATAAGCTCGTTATGTCTAGGCAATAAATGAGGCATTTTTCTTATCGGGATTATTACGCCATTTTAAGCTATAATACTTTTACCTTGTAATACATTTTATAAAAAAATATAATTACAAAAATTTGTATATTTTTTTTGTAATATTAAATGAAAGCAACATAATATTATATGTATAATGTATATATGATAATTTTATATACAGAAACTCTCTCTTTTATCGCAACATAAATTGACATTTTCTTCAAATTTAAAAATGTTTTCAATTGTTAATATATTTTTGGAATGTTTACAATTTTAAATTTAAATTTGAATCGCAATCTATTCCCTCTATTTACACCCTTGTTGTATAGAAAACATCCCATCTATTTAGGATGTGGATCGTTTTTCTTGCCGCGGTATTGTGCAACCATACAACAAAGTTGCACTCTGTATATAAGGGATGCACACGCATTATTCTCCGTTATACGACGCATTTGTCGCAGAACACGAATACGCGGATTGCGATAGAGAATTAATTCTAGCACGCGAAATACATTTGACAGTCTAGATTTTATCGCGATGCGAATAAAAGCATTAATATATTTTACGAGAAATATTCGCGCAATAGAATTTGACAAATAATAAATCTCATCTCGTACTACATAATACATCGACACGAGAGCGTATAAACGTAATAAATATAAGAGAAAAATATATCAACGCTAGTTTGCGCTAGTGGTTCTACAAAAATATATTTTCAACCGATATATTTTACATACCTTTATCTACGTAACAATTTTGCATAGCCGACTATTTTCTGCGATAAATTTAATTTTTTTACAACAATTGTTAAAAATTTCGATAAAAATTAAACATTCTTGTTTTCTTATCGCCCAAATGTAGATCGAAATTATTATTTCGATAATATGGCGGAGTGAAACATGTACTCCATCAAATATGTGCTTTGCATCAAAAGCATGTAAAGCACGGTTTATATGAAAAACTTGCAAATTTTGTATATTTAAAAATTTTCAAAAATCCTTAGCTCACATTACATCCTTCTTTTAAATTTTATGCATCGAATACTATACATTTCGAGAAATTTTCCAACGATAAAGCAACCGTTACATACACGTCTACTAGAAATATCCCATCATGATACCAAAAGTTTATGATTTTTCGCAGCGCAGTTGTAAATATCCGTTTTGTTCTCCAAGACATTTCGCGTCGTTGGTTTTCCAAGTGAATGCGCTGCCGTGAAAGAGGGTCGCATCGATAAAAAATCTCAGAGAGAACGTGAGGGATTGTCGTGGTATTCGAAAACAAGGAAAGAAGGAAAAAGAGACGAGCGTCGCAACTTGATGAAAATCGCGCGCTTCGCAATTTTCAAATTGCGACTTTTCCTTTTCTTTCCTCTACTTGCTCCTTATGCTCCTTTCCGTTTTGCCTCTGCTCGTTTACGCGGGCGCATTGGCGAACAAACATACCGGAAGCCGCGGATATATCCCTGCGGTCATTGGCCGGCCGCAAAACCGCCAACCGTAACTCAATTAATCCGGATTGATCCGTCGGTAACATCTGAGCGTGCGCTGCTCACATAGAGCGATATACGTTTGTGTGTGCGCAAATCGATCAGGAGAGACAAAGGAATATATATATATATATATATATATATATATATATATATATATATATAAAGCGATGTGGTTTTTCTTGATAATTATATCACCGCAAAAATAGTTTTATAAATTTTGTTTTCAATCTTGCCGGAAAATTGCGACCATATCTATTTTGATTTGAGGGAGAAATGAAAAGGCGAATCTCGAATCCCACATCGCGTTTGATAATATCTGAAAATTTCGAAATTTCTTTTCAATTTGAAAGATTAGGTGTCGTGGAATCAAATTACTTCAAAGTACATATATTTTCATTAATCTCAAACTCTTTTTTTTACCGGCAAATTAAAATTTGTCAACGTGTAATTATTTTCTCGCTATTGTATCGCTTTGATGTGTAAATATTTTTCTTGGTCGCATTTTATCGATTATCAATTGAATTCTTTTATATTTACCTTTAATTATCACATTTAATTGCATCTTTCTCGTGGTCTGTTATATTTTTAATAGCGTGCCATTATCGGACCATTTGATTATACGCATCTTGGTACATTGTTATCGTTGATGAATTTTGTACAGATTCTCGCAAATACACACATTTCTTGATTATTGAAAATTGGAAAACATTATAATACACATTTACTATATATATTATGAAAAAAATTAATTAGATACGTAATAGATAAATTCATGGTAACAATTGTGTTAATCGTTATTTAATAATAATAATTATTTTATCATTAATATTCGGCCCGTTTCGTCGCGGGATTATAAACGAAAGCGCGAGTGAGTTATTATACTCGACGATCACAAACGACCGTTATTCAACGAATGAGCTACATTTACGCCGCCCATGTTAATTTATCTACGCCGGCAATGGAAATATCGCGACACTTTTACGCAAACGACCTCATTTGATTCCGTAAACATGCTAGAGCCTCGCACGTTCTGACGAATGCCGACATTTTTTATCGCGCAAACATAAACTCCGCGAGTATGTCGACCATTTGCAATCTATCCATTTGCGCAAGATTGGCCGTTTTTTCGCGATATATTAAAGAAATGGGAAAGATTCCCTCCTCGATTCACGCGCCTTTATACAACTTTGCGATGAACTTTTTTTTAGGTATTTCACGCGCGAGAGGAAACGTCGTTGCGATTATTCGCGGAGATGGCGAGAAGATTGTACACGCAAATTGACATAAAAGCGACATGTTAATTAGCACGCGGGGAATTTTAATTTGAAACGCCCAGAGGACACGAGTAAAAGAGAACGCTCGTGTTTTATTTTTTCGGGAAATGTAATAATTTCTTCTCGCATTTTGATGAACAAATTTGATGAAAATTCATCTCGATATCAACAACTAGCGCCTCTTAATTAAAAATTGATAATTGTGCGCGTGCGGAGCAAAACGAATTTATGAATATTACGGCACACATTTATTTTTAATTCAAGAGCTATGGTTTTAATGCGCTGTTGCAATATCGCGGTGAAAATATTCTCATTGCCGGATGCTCACAATTAATTGAATTTATCAATAATTGCTATCCTCGAATTAACGATGCAATGATAAAATGTTGGCCCTCGTTTATAACGATGACGTACATTGGGAACGTATACCGTAATTGTAAGACGCGCGTGATTTACACGGTTACAAATTTTTATTGCATTTTTTCGAATCGAGCGACGACTCGTGCAAAATCTTTGCTCGGTAAGAGCAGCTCTCTCCAGACGAGTGCATATCGAAAAGTACGAATAAGGAGGAGACTGCGGAAATGAAGATAATAAGCGGAGCGAAGCTAGAAAATCTCTCCTACGAGAGAGTTTCAGTTTCTCTAAGGAGAGCCGAGATCGGAGGCCGACGTATATCCGGGTATATCGTGATGATGAGGGGAGATATTAAATATCAGCTTCTCTTCCTGATATTCTGTCGTGTGTTTTGATCATGGCTCTATTAAAACTCATCTCGTGTAACTTTTTTTCGCTGTTTTACAAAATAGAAATATATTTAAACGAATATTGCGCGCGATATCGCGTTCACGTTGTTATTATAAAATAACGATGTATGGCTGTTAAATTCAATTAAAGTCGCGCATTTGCCCGCGAGCGATATTGCACGGAAAATTGATCGGCGCCGATCGGTCCTACTATTAAAGGAACGCCGAAAAATACATACATCACGGCAAAATAATATTATTATACATAAGACCGTGTGTGACCGAACGTACACGCGCATTATTTCGCCAGGGCGAAATATGTTACGAGATACGTGCTCTTACACACGCACCCACACACACACGCTGCTGTATCATTCCTCTGATTCACGTCCCGGGCATCGCTTCCCACGCAATAACAATAAGTTTGCGAATTTATCTCGGTCGAATTTTATCATCCACTACGAGCTTTCGACAAATGTCAGAAAATTGCCGCATCCAGACACACGCCGTTATTCTTAACATGTGAATGGAATATGAATATCCGTCGTGACCGCAGCCGAATCAGAGACTCCTCGCGAGAGAAATCACTTTGCGAGATATATTCGACGAGGAGCGAAGAGGTGTCTTTTCGGTAAATCGGCGAGAAGAGAATTCGATGATATGTCATGCGTCCTTCATGATCCTTTATAACGGATAGACGTCGTCGCGCGAAAAGTTTTAGAGAATACACTCATTTCGAGATCTATTGTATTTATAAAATATTTGGTTTTAAGATATCCATTTATAAAATATTTTTTTATAAATACAAAATATTCTATATTTATATAAAACTTTTTTGACGCTCAACGATACAATGTGAATTTTAAACGTTGATCGACAAAACATTTCAAAATATTTTTTCTTTTTTTCAGCAAAACGAAAAATGCGAGAAAGGTTTGCGACAATAGGAGAAAAGTTAATATATATCGCGGGACAAACTAGATTTCCTTATTACTCGCCTTTTGCGAAATATTATGCGATTACGTTTTTAAAAAGAAATTTAATTTCGCGTGCGTTGTGTTTATGTGTGTTGCCACAGTTGTAAATTTACAATGACAGACGTTATAAGAGAATCAGAAGATTATTACGAGCATAAAGAAAAGATAATTTTTGTCAGTGCGTTTGCTTACGAAAGATATAACTATTGTTACAAAACAGCCGAGCGAAAAAGTTTTAAAACTTGAACAAAATGATAAATCGAGCAAGTGTTTTTTCCGGTTCACATCCTATCTTGCTTTTTTACGCCACGCTTAATTCTGATTCGTAAAATCAATCGAATGTAGAATTTTAATCGATACATAAATATATAATTAACATAATAAACATTTGTCCGTCCAATCCAATACGAAAAATAATGTTTACATGTAAATGTTATTCTAATTTTGTATTTCAAATATTATTTTTGTTCATCTTTAGCAGTCTTACCAACGATAACGGAATGCTTCGCTCGTCGTGCGTGGACACGCAGACTTCTTTTAATTTTGATTTCTGTCGCATTTTGATCTTTCTTGGTACGAATGACAAGGAGGGACGGGACAAATTTTCAATTTTCGAGTACAAGACAATTTCCAATTTTCCCGATTTCTTTCGCCGGTGTCCACCATGCGTATCATTGCTGTTTTGGTTAAAAGGAAGAAAGGAAGGAAGGAAAAAAGGATACGTGTGGAAATGTAAGTGAAAATAAATTCGTCCAGCGAATTATATATCGGTGCATCGGCGCGAGGTTTCGGTACGCAAAGTTTCTGCGCGAGTTGCAAGTTTTCGAGCTTATACTCGAGTTGGAGCGCATTGTTAATTCGTTCCACTTAATATCCTTATCCTGTTACATCGCTTTACTTAACCAAGGATGCGCTTGGAGAACGAATGTGCGATGGAAGAGCGAGTACTCGGGAATATTGACGGTAAACTTTCATGACGATTTTAAGGACGAAATCTCAAACAGTTTCTTCTCTTATAGTAAATATATTGTATATATGTATATATCTCTACAAAAGTTTTATAAAAATACTGTAATTGGATAAATATTGCAAACGGATAAATTGTGATTTGCTTTGCGCGATTTTGCGAATAATATAATGTTCCCTTTGTCTGTGTTGTAAATTTTAGCTAGAAATAATGATGACACATGTATGATAATACAATGTAATTAAACATGCAGGACCGGTACTATACGTCAAAATGTAATACGCAGTTGTATGTGATTTATAACGGCGTTCGATCGCTCATTAAATATAAATGAATTTGCCGAAGCCAAATGTCGCTTGTTTGCGCGGAGTGTTTACTAAAACTATTATGCTAAATATTCTTAATATCGTTTTTGCGCGTTGTAACAATGAGAACATAATTTTTATTTCTTAATATCCTTATCCTGTTACATGGCTTTACTTAATCAAGGATGCGCTTATTCAAAAATTTTATTTTGAAATAGAGAGAGAGAGAGCCAATTGTTGATCATTTTACATGTTACTCGCTAATCATTCTATAGAATATATATGTATACATAATACTTGTCGAAACGCACAATGTGCGCGATGGGATAGAATAATGAGCAGTCAATCGACCGAATGTAAGATAAATCAACATAATTCGGTTACGGAACAAAATCTGAGAACACATTCTCTTTATGGCAAAGGCATTTATATCGCGATCAAAGAGAGATGATAAAACTAGAAACAATGGGAAAAGGGCCGTCGCCGTCGCCGTTGCCGTTGCCGTCGCCGTCGCCGTCGTCGTCGTCGTCGTCGTCGTCGTCGTCATCGTTGTCGTTGCGATGCGAAAGCAGCAAAGAGAGAGCAGAAGGGGAAAATACATTTTCATAATCGAGTCAAGTACTTTACAGTGTGTCTATTCCAGAAATTTCGCTCAAGCGCGCGCACAGTGTCTCTTACGTTACTATAAAAAAGGGGGAAATGTCTTGAGTCGAACGCAGTGAAAAGGATTATTGGATTTGCCAGGGATGATGCTTGCGCTCGTACATTTCTTTCGCGATAGGAAGAATCTTTTCTTTTATTTTTTGTCTTTATTTTCCTTTTGTCGGCGTTAGAATTATGACGAGAACATTTAAAATAATTTATGCTTTTATCGTTTCTCCTTCGCTCTCTCTTTAATCGCAATTACAAATTTCACTTATAATTAGCAATCGCGATTTCTGTAGAAATTGAATCGATTTATCGTGCTGTTACAAAATCCTACAAAGGGAAATCCTAAAAGCGGAAAATTTATCATAAATTTGTAATGGATACTCTTCTGCTGAACATTATTTAAACTGATTATACATTTATTTTGTATAATCCTGACTTGTCTTAGGTATTATATTTGTAATTTTTGCGGGCTTTCAACTGGTAGGTCCGCTTGTCGCGGAGCGGATGATAGAAATAACGGTCCAAATTTCCACTTCCTTTTTTTTTCGTGAGAGTAGATCGGCGCGGAATAGGATCCCTTTCCGCGAGATGGAAAATAGAGGTTGCGGCGGAGACGAGCTTGTCTCGAATAACGTCTTTTCGTTCTATTCATTACGCGGATTTCCTATCCTTATATATAAACCAACGAGCAACAAACCGATCTGCTTCAATGGCCGATCAAAGGATTCACGTTAATGCAAAATAAATGAGTTTCCTTTACGCGCAGCTTTTATGTTTGCGCTAAACTTGGATTATGCGCGCATTGGCGACTCGCGATTCATGAATATATGTATAGTATAAAGAAATACCATTGATCCCTCCTATTCACTTTTATAGACGAATCATATATGGACGAACCGCGCGAATGCGCGTATAATCTAGTGCTAACAAGTAATTTCAGTTCGCTTCGATTTACAATTATGCATACGTACAACAATTATGCATACACGCATCCCACGTGCGCGCATCATCTGTTTTGTAACTGGAAGAAAATTAATTGCGCTAAAGATGCTCGCAGTTTGTAAAGCGTTACGAGCGGTTTTACAAAATGAGGTCTTTTGCATTGTATAATGCTACTACCAGCCAAGTTTAACTATTTCGGGATAATGAAGGAGAGGCTCATTATACATTACAAGACTTTCTTCGTCTTGTTGCGGAGAGTTTGATAAGCATTGACTTAAAGTTCCGCGCGCGCGAACGCAGTTCTCTTAACTCGGGCAATAAACTGGATTTCGCAGTTTCTATTGAATAATCATAAGTGGTAATACTTTGCACTTGCCGCTTAATCCAGCGTCTTATACGTCTGAATATGCATGAATCCATTGCCAGTCGCAAACAGGCTGCTACTTGAAATAATTTCGCGAATCACTTTGCGCAACAGATAAGATAAGAATTATTTTCATCGTTCTTTTGATTACGCTTCTAGGATAACCAAGTCCATTAGTCCATTATTTTCTTTACACTCTGCTAAAAAAAATACATTTGCCTATGATAATAATTAAGTAATGTATTTTTGCAATTTATATCTGATAATGAGAATGATAAAATGTGAAATACATAATGTTACTGTGTCGTGTAACGATAAATAAATGAAACTCTGCACAACTCTTTGTATAATTTCAAGCCTCACGAATATGCCTTTATGAAAGATTACTATAGAATTTATATTTATTTCATTTAACAGTGCTATATCGATAAATGAGATAGTTTTGAATAACGCAGTTTTTAATCGACACTTCGAACATTTGCTTTTTTAGTCTTCCTCAATAATTTTTTTATCCTTTTTTTCTTTTTATTACGATACGAAAGCTACGACAATTTTTACGCAACATTTCTGATTTTCCGCGACATATAACCAAGTTTGTAATTTTTAGATTGTATATTATTTCGCGCATTACTTTTTTGCGATAAATATAATTTAACAAATTTTACTTTTTTAATACATGTTGTATTATTCGTATAACACAAATGTGTCTCATGGAAATTAGAAATTAGAAAACTCATATGAGAGAAAAGAAGAATTATTTTTGTCGCACTTCTGGTTAAACTTCTGGTTAAACTTTTTTTCGTCATAAACTGCAGTAACGTGGCTTTTTATACATGATGCATTTCATTTAGTCCGACCCCGAGACCCATCTGCCGCACGTAAATCTCGTTTACATACGGTGAGAGTATGCGTAGTCTACGTGACTAATTGTGAGCGGCATTAAAAGGGCAACGTTTACGTGTCGCGAGGCGAGGGGCGCGATTACGAAAGCGCGACGACGACAACGACAACGACTACGACAACGACGTTGGCCAGAGAATTTCGCGTCGCACACCCAAAGCCCGGGGATCACGCTGCACCCCTTCTCCGAACTTGCCATTCGTAATCCCCCCCCCCTTCCCCGTGCCTTCCCCTATTTGCCCTGGGGGCTTCGGGCGCAAACATCGCAAGGATTACATGCTGTTTGCTGTGAATTGAAGCCACCGTAAATTCCGCGGTGTGCCGACTTCGCGAACGCGGCGCCGATGTACGCGCGATATAGGGCGCTGCGCCGAATTGCACAGTCTTTAGTCTGCTAAAATATAAGATAAGAAAATCATGGAAATATATCTATAAAACGGAGCGAAAATATGTTACAGCATTTTATACAGCACCGCTCCAAAATGTTCGCATCGAAACAGGGAGAAATCGTTACTTCAATAAACAAAAATACATTTAAATATTATCCAATTACATTTTGATTATATTGCTGTTATTTTATGCTTTAATAATTTCATGAACAAGAGTAAAATAATTAGGAGAAAAAAAAGATAATAAACTTATTTATTTACGCGTGTGCCTTTTCTGTATTTTTTTGCAATATTTTTGACTGTATGTATTAAAGAGGCATAGAATTTGTTTCGTATGAGAATTGAAACTTTTGAAGAAACATGTAGGTACATTTTTCCCTCTCGAAATATCATTTGTTTAGAGAAACAATTTTCTAAAAAATTCATACTTTTTATGGACTAGAGGGGAATAAGAGAGAAAGAGAAGGACACAAAGAGAAATGAGTAAACGATATTTCCATGTATAGACATTTTATGAATAAAATGCCATTTTTTTGTTTTCGTACGATGCACAATTTTTTTGTCACGTATAAATCTGTCGATGGCTGGTGCGTATGCCGTTAGGCGAGCATTTTTTTTCTATTCTCATAAACGAAACGGTTTCATCGTGCGAATACGGGTTACATTTTCGGGTAATTTCGGATAGCGCTGATCAAAGACCTCGTATTTGCTAATAATTGCATTAGTATATATCATGCGCACGATAATTAAATATCAATGATATGCCACGACAGTTTATTAGTAATTGTATACATGAATCGATATGTCTGTATTCATAAATAATACTACTATGATTTTAGTCACAAAAATTGTCCGTTGCTTTTGCTAAATTGTATATAAACTGACGGATGATTACATGTATATGTATAAAAACTACTTTTAGGAATTAAAAATTAATCAATGAATTTCATGTATTTTTTGATATTTTTTATATACATTACATCGCAGAATCTTTAGGGGATATTTTGCATTTACTATGATTTAATATGGAAAGTATATAAAATATTGTAATATATATAATCTATAAAAAATTTTATTACGTAAACAATTAATATTTCGATATATAATATAAAGTAAAGAAGCGCTTTGACGGACTTGTAAATGACTTTATTGGCAAAATGCTTGTGCAATTGTATACAAAGTTATTCCATTATTTTAAAGATTTACAAAGGTAT